ATTAGTTACCTTCGTTCATGTCTCCTTAGATCAAGATTAATAATAATAATAATATTGGCATTTATATAGCGCTCTTACAGACATACATGTGTATCACAGCGCTTTACAACATATTATTATTACCCCGGTCATCGGATTCAGGCTTACCCGCACACAAGGTATGCACATTCTCCACTCCCTGGGGAGCATTCCAGCCAGTCGCCATTTTACAAGCGCCACATGCTAATCAAACCACATTAGCTTTCGCATCCTACCGGGTACCCATTTTAACACCTGGGTGGAGAGTGGCAAATGTAGATCAATGTCTTGCCAAAGGACATTAGTGCCGCGGCGGGACTTGAACCGCGGACCTTGTGATCCACAGTCCGGTGACTTATCCACTCGACCACGACACCTGTTACCATGTAATATGATTCAAGGCCACATAGGTTAATTACTTCTTAATTAGATACTACGACAAAAAGATGCACACAATCGGTATATTCCTTGATTATTCCAAGGCATTTGATACTATAGATCATGAAATTTTGCTAGGGAAATTATCGCATTATGGTGTCAGGGGCACAGCTCTGGACTGGTTTAAGAGCTACTTAGCTGACAGGAAACAATTTGTTTCTTTAAACGGTTTTGATTCAGGGTTACAGAATGTCACATGCGGCGTTCCTCAGGGATCTCTCCTTGGTCCGCTCTTGTTTATTGTATATATTAATGACTTTCATTTCTCATCTGATATTTTGTCATTCATCTTATTTGCTGATGATTCCAGCTTGTACTATTCACACAAAAATTCACAAACTCTGTTAGAAACGGTTAATTTCGAACTAAGTAAAGTTACTTTGTGGATTCAAGCAAATAAATTGTCTTTAAATCTGCAAAAGACAAATTATATGTTTTTAGTAATACAATCAAAGTGCTTCCAGGAGATGTATCATTTAATAATGTATTGATAGATAGGGTATCATCAACAAAATTCCTTGGTTTGCACATTGATGAGCAAATGAGTTGGAAAATTCATGTAAATCATCTCTATAAGACATTGTCAAGAAACAGTGGCGTAATTCATAAATTGAAATCAATTTTACCTAAAGGCATCCTTTTATTAATGTACTCAACATTAATCCTCCCCTATCTTAATTATGGTGTTCTTGCTTGGGGTAACTCTCTTAAAACTAACCTTGAAAAGTTATATTTGATTCAAAAGAGGGTCTTAAGAATTATTTGTAACGTTAGCTTTCGTACGCACACTAATCCGCTTTTTTATACGCATAGAATTTTAAAGGTGCAAGATATTTATCACCTTCAACTGGGTTCTTTAATGTACAACTTCGATTCTGGTGTCCTTCCACAGGTTCTAGTCAGCATTTTTAAGAAAAATAGTCAAGTTCATGACCATGCTACACGAAATGCCTCTGCGTTTCACTTACCCCAAGTAAGGACAAAGTTAACTTTTAATACTTTGGTTTTTACTGGACCTAAATTTTGGAACTCTCTAGGCTCTAGCGTTAAGCAATCTGTTAGTCTCTCTTCATTTAAGTGTAAACTTAAGGTTTATCTTCTCGATAAATACTGTGACTCATAGAGTAGTTCATTTTTGTAGTTATTATGGTGCCAAGATATATTATGTATTACTATAAATGTAAATTTTCTTCTTGATATTAATATGTGTCTAACTGAATATTTTCAGATTGTCAACCTCTTATTCCCTCCCCCTGTTGTCTTGTGCCCGTTGTGTGCTGTGCCTATTGTCGATGTGCTGTATTCTTCTATTATTTCTCATATTTTCTTTTTTCTCCCGTCTTGTCTAGTCTAGTCTCTCTTTTTGTTGCTGTTGTTGTGTGTGTGTACACTTCTTGTTTTGTTATACCCCCTTTTCCCTATTGTATTCTTAGGTAGTCACAAATATCTATTCATCATGTTTTATCCGGCTCAGAGGGGACCCTAATAATTACAAGCTCTGCTTTTACCAGGGTCTCCTCGTCTTTCTTTTAGTTAGCTATGTTTTTTATCATTATCATAATTTGTTATTTTGCTTTGTAAATGTGTTATGATCCAATGTTATGCTCTGTATGTCATTTGAAAGAAAGACGAATAAAATCTTATCTTATCTTATCTACTAAATTTTGGTCTCCTTTTTTTCATACGCACTGTATAAAGAGTGCTATAATATGTACGAAATTCAATGTATAACTTTGAGAAGAAATGATTTTTATACTCTGCAATAAACTAAAGCCTCGGTCAAAAATGCCATTACAAACTGCTACGAACGCCGTACGAACGATTTTTAGACCATGGAAATTCGTACGAACCTTTGTGACCGTAGCTTTAGATACTAACAATCATCGGCAGATCATCCCAATACTACATGTAGGAAGAGAATAAAACATAAGTACATACATTTAAATCTAAAAATCCTTTAATATATTACATTATCTATATACACATGTACATGTAAATACTAAAATCGATTTATAGTAGTAATGATACTATTTACAAACAATTTATAATAAATATATCTAATTTAAACTATCCTGCAAACATTGTTTTGATGTTAGGGTGTAAATATACAACATTTATAACTATATAAATACACAATTGAATACCTAGTAATACTTTAAGTTTTTAGGCTTATAATCATTTCTTTTGAAAATACAAAGATAATACATGTCTGCTTGGATCCAGAAGGGTATAGCGCTGTATAAACTTACATGAGCAAACACCCTTTAGGCTCTGAACAGACATTACGTTCCAGAGTCTGCCTAGTTGCACGCCAGGGCCCCGTTTCATAAAACTTGTTGTCAATAACAATTCAATTACGATGATTGTTATAAGCTACTGAAATCCTTGCATTGGATTGGCTGTGAGTAGATTTGTCATAAGATTTGTGGCAGTAGTTGTAATTGTTAATAAGTTTAATGAAACAGTGCCAGCCAGCTCTCTCTCTCTCTCTCTTAATCTCATATTTTGAGAAAGCAAAGCACTACTTAGGCAATCAAATTTTTTCAAGGCTGAAGAAGTGTGGACGGAATATCAAGTACATATAAAAAAATCTAAAAATCACATAATGTTCATCTCTGAAAAGCTTTGGTGTTCGTAATTCAGTGAGTAATGGAATCCCACTTATCTAATTCATAATACCGAAGTACAAAGACATTTCAGAAAACAACTTGAAAGAAAGATTAACTCATGGCTAATTTCAATGCTCTGATGTATTGCTAATATAAATCTTGTTTTGATTATATAACACATCATTTTCATATTCCTGACATTTCAATATTTCATATTTTCAATGGTACATGGCCTAGCTGGCACCACAAACCCACAACAAAGTTGCTAGAAAGTTATTTGTTAGCTTAGGTCTGATTCCAAAAGAGGAGCTTTGTACACTGGACACGGCACCAAACTTGGATGTTTCTAACCCAATGAAAAAAGGAGGGACAGTTACTTTAGGGAAAGGATGTTAAAATTGAGAACCACTTCAACAAACTGGAGATCATACCAACATATGTCTACAAAACACTTCCCAAAGTACCACTTTTACATTAGTTTGTACTGCTCATTAAGTTTCAAAAATACGTAGAAGAAATGCCCAAAATGCAATTTGACCATGCTGACAAACTACATAACATGTGACCTTTTTGTGTTTATATGTGTGTGCAGTGTTGTGCGGGTACCTTGGGGTGTTTAATCCTAAGTTAAACTTGTCTCTATAAGTTGGACTTAACAATTATAGAAAGCCGTTGGCATAAAAGGCATAAAAGGCATAAAAGGCATAAAATGTTGATTCAAATCATTCATATTTTCTATTATCAAGGAGATTTCATGTTCTTGAGGTGGAATTTATAAAAAGTCTAAAATAATTGAATTTAGCTTTTGAATATATTTCATTTTAAGGCTACAAATGGCTTTCCAAATGTTTAAGTCTAACTTAAAGTTAAGTTTGACTTAGGATCGTTGTGAAACACCCCCCTGGTCACATAGTATGAGGCTAATAAAATTGCCACCTCTATGCATGGTGATATCTTGACTGAAAGTCTGCACGATTATATATGGTGCATTTTCAGAAAATAAAATTCCAGTAATGCATCGATCTCCATGCATGCTATGGACAAGTTTATTCAGCACCAGACAAGAAATTGTGTAGCTACACTGTAGCAACAATTGTGGGAAATCATCATTAAAAGCTGAGAAAAAAAAACTGTGTGTAGATAATCCCCATAAATCTTATCATCTTTTTGGAGCAAAAAAGACATTTACTCATATACTTACACAAAGTTAACCTCCATTGTTATTCATATACACACATAGATGAACAAGTGATAATAAATGCTGGTATCAAGGTATTTGGCACTTATTTTGGTGGGATGAACAATCAATACTGTCAAAAGTTCACGCAAGTATCAAATAGTTTTTTTAAGGTACACGTGTACATGCAGGAAGACCCTAAGAATGGCAAGAATATTAAACAATGTCACAAATTAAAAAGTAAATATAAAGATCAGCAAGATTACAATTTACAATGTCTTAAAGGTAATACAAAGTTTTGGTATGGGGTCATGAATTTGGTTCAAATGAACATATTGGAAGCATATGCGATCCTACAATATTCAGTGATCGTTGTCGCGGTTGAAATCGAGTCTAAAGTTATGAAATTGTAAATAATAAAATCTTTTTGATGTATAGCTCCCTCTCAAGGTCAAAAAATAATTAAGCTATAAAACAATGTTTTTGACTATAACCGACCGATTACCTGTTCCCGTTTGGAAAATATATATCACAACTACATATTCTGAGAGTTTCATGGTCGCAGCCACCATTGTACAGCCGTAGGCGCTATTTGAAATTTATTAACATTTACCGGGAGCACCGGTAAATTTTTATATTTTATTTTTCTCAAAAGCAGAAGTGTTTTAGGGACTAAATTTTCTAGTGCTTATAATACATCTACAGGGGCATCCAAATATATAAAAATTGTAAGAATGACGATCCACCCAATTTTCAAAATTTCCCAAAACTTTGTATTACCTTTAATTGATGAAAGACTCATACATGTATGTTGTACCAAAATAATATTTGAAGTTTATGCAAACTCATTATTTGCACCATGCAATTAGTTCATATTTGGTTGGCATACCTCACAACTTGGTATGAATGGAAAGAGTCAACTCTATATAGAAAGAATTCATTTGTCACACGCTTGTACACAGCAGTGAATAACCATCCAATGCGATCAGATTCAATCCATTATTTTTTAGACTGCCATATATCTAGTAGCCTATACTCAAAGGTGCTTGCGAGGCTGACGATATATGTATCTCGTGTGTACACCCACTTTGCAATTTGCAGTCACAGTGCTTTGTTTGCTTTTATAAACATTGGTGTACACAAATTTCCTCTTCATGTGAAAGGCGTCTCTGGTGGTGATCATGAGCATAGATTCCTGAGTTTTGAATTGAGCGTCTTCTCCTTGGCTAACAAGTTTGCAGTGTGCTTCTTATAGGCTGCATACTCCTGTGTGGAGAAAGGCAAAATGGATCAATCACTGTTAAAGTCAAAATGCACCACCAGAAAGGTGAGATAACATAAGATATTTATTTGTCTTTCTTTCAAATGTCACAAAGAGCATAACATTTATAGATCATTACACATTTACAATGCAAAACAAGTTATGGCAATGATAAAAAGATAAAAAAGTAAACTAAAAGAAAGATGAGGAGACCCTGGTAAAAGCAGAGTTTGTAAGTTTTAGGGTCCCCTCTGGACCAAATAATTGGTTGGTACATAAATAAGCACTCATTTCTTCTTCTTCACATTATCTTCATTTCCTCATGAATAAAATGAGATCAATATTACCCCGGTAACTTCAAACTTCAAGGTATTTTAAGCCTTTTAAGTTCTAGTCTGTGAAAATGTCAAATCGAATATTAGTCCGTGGTCTGTCATGCTGTTGGTATTACAATGCACAGCAGATTGGGAATTATCTCTGACTGAAAAGCTCTACACAAACTACAAGTTCTATATTTGTATGACAACGCGAGATCTCAGTGATGAGAACAAGTGATAAAATCAAAATTTCATATTCTTCTTCTTCAAGATACTTTGCCTCCTTCAATACTGAAGATTCTTGCAGATGCTGTATATACTTTGCCTGAGTGAGGTGTCGGCAGGTGGACCACTACACCGGGGTTTCCTTCCACTCTTATACGAATAGTGCAATGGGTTCTTAACGTGCAAGGGTGGTGACTCTCCTGTACACGGGGCCTCCATTTAACGTCCTATCCGAGGGACGGAGTTTTTTCCACTTAACATAGCCTGAATCTATGAAACACGGGGAGGGGCACGTTAACACACAACACAGGCTTCAGTCATCCGCCTGGGTGGGATTTGAACCCAAGATCTTTGGTTCGACAGGCAGACGCTTTACCGATTGAGCCAACTCGCCTCCCTATTATTTTATACAGGTATTTTGATTAAAGATAAAGGTGAGTTCTGGTAAAAAAAAAGAAAATGAATTCTCCAGAATCAAATGAAACTTACACTGAATGTTCAAGATTACAAATAAATGTCATTTGCCAAATAATTTTGGTAGAAAATGTATACTGGCTGAGTAATGAGCATAGAAAGTTTAGGAAATCAAGGTTAGTCCCGACACCATTTGTGTAGTACCATATACATATTTCTGTGAACAGTGCTTGTTACTTTACCAAGACTGGGCCAAATTTATTATGATTTTGATGACTCCAAAACTTTGCAGTACACACTAATATTTACATGCTACATGATCAACTTTTTCTGATCCATTCCACACCTAATTTTCTTTCACAATGCAATCAGATGACCAGAACTCACCTTTATCTTTAATACAAAAATCCAGATCTAGTCAGGTCCTAAGATGTGCAGTAGTCTTAACATAGACAAAGAAATAAATGAGCAGGGGGGGGGGGGGGGGGGGGGGGGGGTAAGGGGACACTTTTTTAATGGATTTGCTGGTCCAAGGAGGAAGTTCCATCACTCTGGACAGGAGCTATGCTGGTGTGTCCTTTCGTGATCTTCCTGTGACCCTCTTTATTGAGCGAAGGGGTGATGAAATTGTCAGCGTCAGTGTTGCAGATTTGGAAGATACCCAATGGATTTGCTGGTCCAAGGAGGAAGTTCCATCACTCTGGACAGGAGCTATGCTGGTGTGTCCTTTCGTGATCTTCCTGTGACCCTCTTTATTGAGCGAAGGGGTGATGAAATTGTCAGCGTCAGTGTTGCAGATTTGGAAGGTGCTGATATTTCGGAAGATGAAGTATAAGGCTGATTCCTTGTGTGTTTTGTTGCTGTTTTGACACCATTTTCAGTGACAGTGGGCTGGATGTGATATTTTTCTACTTCACTACCTTGAGATTTCTGCACTCCTCCAATCTCAATATGAGCTGGATATGATATTTTTGAAATGTTATTAATTTGTGTTTTCTGTAAATAGTGTTTCAGGATTGTAATGCTGACATTGTTTACAAAGAAATTATTTACATAAGAGAATGTCAATCTCAATGTTTTATAGTAAGTGGGTTAAATCTTCAAAACAGCCATATTATTTCGCTCTGAATATCGCAGAAGTTTCATGTAGGATAATAACAGATTGTCCTGTTACTTTTTAATGTGTGAGGCATATATGGATTAGGAAGCAAGTGCTGTGGGCACAACATCCAATATTTTAATATAAAACAAATCTGAAGCAATGGAGAGATTTTTGTTCTCTACAAAAAATTCCTCTCATTTATAAAAATATATTTCAGGTGTGGCATACAAAGTTGGTTGTACTTGTAGTCATACAGTTTTTATATTCTATTAATGTTTCACTTTTGACCTTTTTTCTTTAATTGTATAATTAGTTATATAAACTGATATTTTTGGTTGGGCTTGGTAAAACAAACAAAATACATGCTTAATTGGTGAAGATAACAATGATAGGAAGAACTCTACAATAATTTGTATGCCTCCGTTACGAAGTAGCCGGAGGCATTATGTTTTCGGGTTGTCCGTCCATACGTACGTCCCGTTCTCGTGATCGCGTTATGTGAAGAACTGATTGATGGATTCCTGACAAACTTTGGTCATGTATGTATCTCGCAGAGCCGACGAACTGATAAGTTTGATTTTTTTGTGATTTTTAGTCGATTCAGATTCTAATTGTTTTGAAAGATGAAGCTAGTTAAGGGCTTATCGTTGAAGGCTGACATATGTAGGTCATAGCTAATTGAGTTGTTGAATTTTATGTACAGGTTCCTTCTTGAGTTTATTTTAACATTTGTTAGTGTATTTGTATTGTAAGTTGGATGGTATTATAGGGATTTTAGTACTATTTGGCGATAATTGTTTATGTATGTATGTCAAAGGGCAAATGTGTACAAAGCAGTTAGTTTGTTTTTTGTTTGACATTCTGATCTTTGTTGTTTTGTTTGTTAAAGTTAGGAAAGTGGATGACAACTTGTTTTGGAATGTGTAAAGCATGAAATAAGTATATTTTGTAACATGACAGTTTTATCATGGAAATAAGAGTATATTTGTTTGTTCATTTAAAATAACATGTATGGTTGTTATTTTATTTTATTGTCTGTGATATGTAACATAAAATACAAATTGTTAAAGGTATCTGCACTCAAAATGTATTTTTTTTTAAAGGCAAGTTGATTCTTATTGTTGTGTAGTATTGGATTTATCTTCTATATCTTTGTGTTTATACATGATGTAAATAAGTTTTATACAAATTAAACAAAGAGTGAAATGATTTTTCCAAGCTTCTAAGGTTCACTTCTCCCATATGGTCCAGATGTCATGTCTTTAGTGATATCATTTCTTGATCATTAGTGGGCTAGCTACTAACGGTAGTGGTAATTGTCGGAGCTTAATTACTTCTTTAGTAGTATAATGGACTGTATTTCAGAAGCCATTGAAAAAGCATTGGATTGTTGTAGAGTTCTTTGGCTGAACAGTACATAACAGTGAAGAGGCTATTCTGGATATAAGCAAGACATTGTTATCATTATTATTATTATTATTACTATTATTATTGTTTTTCTACTACTAATACTACTTTTAGTACAGATGAGTTGCTATTTCAGACATAATGTTTTAGTATCACAAGCAAAATTGGTTAAATGAAAAGTTGGATGTGTTGTATCTATCTCATTTAGTTTGATTCTTTTTGTGATTTTCGATTCAGACTCTCATGATTGTTTTGAAAGATGAAACTAGCTGAGGGCTTGTCACTGAAAGCTCAGGCTGACATTATGTATGCTAGTGCTTAATTGAGTTGTTGAATTTTACGTACATGTAGAGTTGGTTATTTTGACATTTGTTAGTGTATTAGTTGGATGGTATTATATGGACTTTTAGTGCTATTTGGAGATATTATTTTTTTATGTATGTTAAAGGACAAATGTGTTTAGAGCAGTTAGTTTGTTTTTAATTGTTTGACATTTTGATCTTTATTGTTCTGTTTGTTAAAGTTAGGGGAGTGAATGACAACTTGTTGTTTCGAAACATGTAAAGCATGAAATATGTATATTTTTGTAAAGTGACAGCTATAGTTTTACTGATCATGGAAATACAATTATATTTGTTTGTTCATTTAAAGTAAAAAAAATATTAAAAAAAAGAAATAAATGAGCAAACACTGATGCTTACCATTTTGAGCCCTGAGAGATCCTTCTCTGCTTCATCTCTCTGATCCTTTAATCTGATGACTTGTAGATTGGTTGATACAAGAGCAGCCTCTCTCCTAATATGGTCATAAATATGACATAATATATATTACAGAACACAGTTGAAGATTCCCCCCACGCAAAAAAAAAAAATTAAAAAAATGTATACCCGTATGTAGGTATACATAATGACCGGCCTACTTGAAATATCCAGTAAGTTACCAAATTAATTATTTATCTACAGCAAAATGGTGATACATGTATAATATATACAATTGAGAACAAACTGGCAAATCTATACATGTACAGAATGCATAAATAAAGTTCACTATGTTTTTAGATCGGGCCCGTCTTACAAAGAGTTGCGATTGATCCAAATCAATCGCAAGTCCTCCTATCAATCACAAATTTGTAGTCCCCTATCTCTTATGTACATAGTTGCGATTAATATCAATCGCAAATAAGTTGCGATTGATATTAACTCTTTGTAAGACGGGCCCCTGGTCTCTCTATATATGGGAGATTCTCTCTACCAATATATAACCAGCATTTGCATAATATTCATCTTGTATTGCAATGGCAGCATAATATTCTTAAAATGCTCACTCAAATTTCTCCTCCATTTTATGAAGAGCCTTCTCTGCTTCCTTAACTTTGTCCACCATCTGTTTGATCTCTCGCTGTTTGTCCTATCAAATAAACAAAACAAAGACATCATATTAAAACTTTTACATGTACTTTTCTACTACAAAGTTTTCATTTGATGCTACAACAACAAAATAACTCCTGACGACGGACAGTCAAGCTGTTCGAAACGTCGAGCCACTCCCGCCACCCATCCTCTCCAATCGGTGCTATATTTCTCCTTAGAACTATAAGCTAAGAAAGATACCGGTAACCAAGTCTTTTTCAAGACTACACCAACAGTCCTTTTCCTCCCTCTCTCTCACATGGTGCATCCGCAAGCCTACTGTATAACATAATAACAACAATGATATTCCGTTCTTGTTAGGGGCATATCATATTATGATGTTACATCTCAATGTACTTCAAAAAAGCTTCAGAAATTGTAAAGGTACACTTTCTTCCCACTTTAAAAATATAATATGTAACAAGAAGTGTAACTAACGTACAAAATAAAAAGGTACAATGTGTTTGTTAGTACCACTTTTCTGACTTCAATGAACTTTTCAGTAGCCATTTATTCTTCCAAGTGCAATTACTCCTACCATAAAAACTTAGCTTTTAAATATGACCCAATAATCCCTGAGCTAAGGATTCATTAAATTAGGGGGAAGCTGTCAGTGTGGGGGTGTTGGGGGTGGGGGAGGAGGTTTGTCCTTACAGCATTGTTGATGGAGGGCTCTTGTCATAGGGGAATAGTTGATTAAATAAGGGGGTAGTTGTCAGTGTGGGGGTATTGGGGGGGGGGGGGGTGTCCTTGCGCCATCGTTGATGGAGGGCTCTTGTCATAGGGGAATAATTGATTAAATAAGGGGGTAGTTGTCAGTGTGGGGGTATGGAGGGGGGGGGTTTGTCCTTACGCCATGGTTAATGGAGTTCTCTTGTCATAGGGGAATAGTTGATTAAATAAGGGGGTAGTTGTCAGTGTGGGGGTATGGGGGGGGGGTGTCCTTGCGGCATTGTTGGTGGAGGGCTCTTGTCATAGGGGAATAGTTGTTTGGGAGTAGTCCTTGGAGATAGTTTTCATGGAGTAGTTGTCCCACCCTGGACAGAGTATGCCCTGGGGTAGATGTCTTGGAATCTTCCAAATCAAATGATATATACCGCTGGACCCATCATGACCCATCATGTACTTGTCTTTGTTAATGCTATTATAATTTTCATTACCTCAACTTCTCTATGTCTCATCCAGTAATTTCACTGACCTGAATTAATTTCCCTCTCTGCATTGAAAGATCTAAGAACTCTTGTCTCTCCCTGCTAAGTTTCTCCAACCTCATGGTATTGCTAGAATCCGTAGCCATCTTACTGTCCCTCTCTTGCTTAAGTTGTGCCAGCACCTCTAAAAAACACAAAAGTATACTTGGTGATTAACAAGATATTGTAGTGACATTTATCTTTTGTTTAAACTGTGCATATGGCCCTCACTACAGGTATATTGACCCTCAAGTTATTGGGTTTTAGTCCGTTGATTCAACATTTATTATTTAGTCAACTGCAGGAAGGAGCATAATTGAAAAGATTGAGGCTGCTAGCCACTTCAGAGGTTAGGCTATTCAACAAAAATAATCTGCTAAAGAATAGATAAACATTCTAATACAGATATTGTAGAGGCTATTCTCTCACCTTTCATTTGATTCTTAGCAGATTTCAGCTCCTTTTCCAGGCTCTTTGCAATCTCTATGTGCTGTCTTTCCTTCTCAGTCATTTCTTCCTGTAGCAAACTGTTGTGAAAAGTTTCAAGAAACCATTTCATCATCATAATTATCAGGATAATTAAATGACATATATGTAACAGTTTTGATGATTTCAGATCTCCTGCTATTAAACAGGCCTCAAAGAAAATATGTATCAATTACATGAAGAGTGTCGGGCAATCGACCGTTCACCAAATGTGAAGGGTGCCAAACAAGCAATTTCTTTTTGCTGTAGATGCTTTGGGAATCCATGCTGGTATCTTATATTAGAAATATCAACTTTACATTGTAGATTACTTCTGTAAAAAGACATTGCAAGTTTTGTAATTCCAACTGTTTAATGAAATCTACTGAATAAACAAAAGGTGGATTCCAACAGCTCTGATAGTGAAAAGCTTTCAAAGAACTCGATGTTTCTTTTGTTTCATTATGTTAGTTGATGTATATGCATATCAGCAAGTAGTGTATTATATTTTTAAGTTTCTTTTTATGCTGATAGTTTGAGAGATAAATGAGCTAAAAAAGACAATTCAAATTCTTTTTGCACAGAATAGAATTGACTAGCAAGAAGCCAATTTTTTATGTCAGTTGAGAGTGTTTGTTATAATTTCAATACCTCTTTATAAAAGTAATATCTGAAACTCAGAGGTTGAATATAGTATAATAACAAAGAATATTAGTATGCAGAGTAAAATATATGTTGGTGCTTGATACACTTGAAGCCTATAGGAATGAGAGGATTGTACTGAACGAGACAAGAAGCTTCGCCGGCAGTTCACTCAAAGATGTCTTTGACGAGCTGTTCATGATAGTCATGGCCCGCACCGCATGGAGATGCCAGTGTCAAGCTGAACCTGCTTGAGGACTTTGTAGAGTCTGTATTTACATGGCTGCCGTCCAAGAGCTGCCCGCGACGACAAGAAATCTATTCCACAAGAAAACCGTCAACAAGTTGATCATTATTACCTGCATCTTCTTTCCATGTCTCTACCCTGTCCCTTCAGGAGTTTGAGGTCCTTCTGTTGTTCCTTAATCTTCTGATCCCGCTCCTCTATCGCTCCTGAGAAGAGGTTGCCATTGTCTTCTCGGAGCCTTTGATTCTCTGTCCTCAGGATCTCATTCTGCCTCTTGTACTCATCTTTGAACCTGTATCCAAAGACAATCATGATAGCTGAATTTCACCAGGAGGATGCCAGCAAAGCATTCATAATTAAACTACACCTGTACAAGAAATGGTCATTAAACCTTCAATCTGTTTGGAGCATAAAACAGAGTTCACAAACTACAATATCCTTAGAATTATCCAAGTTGAAAACTCATCCTTTAAAACAATCCTGCATTGATAATATCATGCTTGACACTAAGATATGGCACTCATTTGGACTTGTATTTTACCGCTATTTTCCTTGTGTGTCTATACAACTGTGCAGAATAGACCACACCTATACAAATGCCCAATATAAATTTGAATATTATTCTGACTATCAACAGACAAGTAGCATAAATTTGGTAAATATTTCAGTATCAATTGTACTTCCAAGGAATATTGAATTACCCTTGACCTTGACAATTTACTTTGGGTCAATGTAACCTGATCCCAGGTCAATATCCTCTTACATTAATCCTTAATTCAACTCTGGAACAAACATTATGGCCCGAATTCACAAAGGCAGTTTATCATAACCCATCGTTCAAAAATTAGGGCGAAACAAAGATACCTTGCCTTGCGTGCGTCTAATATTGGACCTCTGACTGTGTCGCGCTTATTTTGCGCTAATTTTAGACCATGGGTCATGTAAATAAACATCTGAAACATGGGTTAAATTTAAACCTCCTTTGTGAATTCCGGGCCATTATCTAATCACAACTCTAATATTGCATAAACCAAAATGCAACTTTAACCCTTTATTTTTTGCGTATTGAACCTGGCCAAGTACATTTCACAAAATCCTTGAGCATACCTGATCATTTCCTCATGGTTCTCGGCCAACTCTTGAAACCTGCGATCCACCATGTTGAACTTCTTGATCTCTCCTTCCAGCATCTCCTGGGCATGCTCCCGGAACTTCTCCAGCTCTCTGTTGATCCGGTCCAGGGTCTGGGCCTTGAGAAGCGACTCATCCGCTCGCTGCTTCAGAATGCAGATCAGCTGCCCCTGCTCATCGATACGTGACCGTAGCATGGCGGCTTCCGTCTTGTCCTCATGCGTCAAGCGCTTCAGTTTGTCCAGACTGGCATTCATTACCTCCACATCCTGTAGTAGAAGTAGATTGTTTGTAGATTGTCTAATTTTATTTCTTCTAGGGCTAAGCGTCATCAATTCTCGCGTTTCAAAATACTTGCGCCACCAATGTACGTATCGTGAGAGGACAGGTACTCGCAGGTCGACAACAATTGCGACTAAGGCTATGTCTTGGCCCCTCATCTCGCCGATAGTATTGATTTCATGAGATATCTAGCTAGTATACTAGTAAGCTCTTTGTGAAACAGTTTAGGAAAGACATTCACTATTCATAGACATCCCGTAGTTGGCAAATAAAGTTATGACTGTCTTGTCATTGGTTTCGAGAAACGGGCCCCTGATTTGACGAGAAAGTTGTTGACTCATCTCCCAAAATTACCGCATTAGCGTGACAATCGCAACTGAACCAAATGAGGGCTCAAGGATTGTTGTCACGTGAGCGACTGTTTTTTAATTATTTACACTGCTACCTCATCAGAAAACCACACCAGAACACAATTGTATAAGTTTAAATAAAAGTTTAATATTCAGCCTACAAATCGTGGCGTCAAAAAATCATCAACAGCACATAAACAATTTAATGGAACATAACTTTATAACAGGGCAGCTTCCATCTCGTGAGTCCCTCCTGGTCCTTGTTGCTTGGCCAGTCTCTAGACTGCGTAGAATCCCCGTCGACTTGACAGCTTATCTCGATCTCCGTCGATGAATTCCCTGGTCGCTTGGCCAGTCTCTAGACTGCGTAGAATCCCCGACGTAAAAAGTCTTTCTCAAGAATAATGTTTCTCCCACTAATATAAATAAAAACTACCTCGTGCATTAAACGTCTGCACCGTAGCACTGACTTGAAGGGTTCTGCCCATTATTCTACAGCAACTTCCCTTTCCCCTTTCTTTGCCAGGTCCTTAACATTCAAAACCTCCTGGGTATGCAAGCTATTTCTATTTCTATCTACAATCAATAGCCAACCCCAAATCATGCATAACAAAACCCCATATACTATACATGTTAAATGCAAATGTATGCAATAATGCATCCTACGCTTGGCTACCTCTATCTGACCCTTGAGTAGTACATTTCCTTTGAGTAGTACATTTCCCTCCTCGCCTGGAAAAAATTCCTTTCATGACAATATCCCTCACCTTAAGATATAACTAAGGGTACACGATTATATCACAAAATCATGAATTTTTTTTTTCTTAGATATTATTTCTTTTCTCTCTTTTGTTTGTTTTACATATACAATTTTATACAACAAATAATCACAAGACATGTTGTGACAGTGGTCTTGTCTATCGACTGACAATATTGTCAAACTATTCATAGTACAACAAGCATAAAACTCCTATTTTATCATTGTGTAATTACTCTCATGAAGAGGAATATGAACAGTAATAAATCAACTTAAAACCTGTGAGTTATACATAATTTCAGCACTTTGCAAACTTTTGGAACAGCTTGATACAACATAAATGACAAATTTGTAATTGGATTTGTCTTTTTCTGTCTAATGAAACTTCGAGCAACATGTTTATCAACATTCTTGTATTTCTAACAATTAATATTCATACATGTATTAACGTTTTCTTTTCTATTGTCAGCACTCGAAAACTCAAATGACTTGATATGTTTATCAACAACTAGCAAGTGTCTCACAAAATGAGCAAGACAACTGAATTGATACGTACAGGCTTACATATTTACGCTTATACAATTTTCTACCTTAAGAAGTCCTAATTACATTAAAGTACACATACTCTACTTCTTAACTAAGCCCTATAACCGCGAAGACGAGTCGAGTCGGTAGACCGGGTTCCTGAAAGAAAAGAGATGATACTTTCAGTAGTTTTTGCAATAAAACCACACAATAGTCATAACAAATCTAATGATGTGTACAATGTAATAACTTCTTGGTTGTTAGATGTTTTGTTCTTGTCAATAGTATTATATCTTTAACAAAATAATAACACGGGTAATCCATTCTTGAATAGGATTGAAACAAACATCCATCACAACATCATAAATTACAGCAATCTGCTCCATAGGTCAGCAGCCTTATTTTCTGATCCTTTCACAGACACAAGACGGAACCTATGCTCTTGGAGACTTAGACTCCATCTCATAATGCGCTTGTTTGTCATCTTATTGGTTTGTATGTACAACAAGGGTTTATGATCAGTGTGAATTTCAAACTCCCTACCGTACAAAAAGTACTCGAACTTGCGGACAGCCCACACAATCGCCAAACATTCCTTTTCGACTGTGGAGTATCTAGTTTCCCTAGGCAACAACTTTTTGCTTGCATATGCAATAGGAAAATCTTCATCATCGCTCTCTTGCATGAGCACCGCGCCTAATCCGGTATCGGATGCGTCAACTTTCAACATGAACAGTTTGTCAAAATCGGGTAACCGTAAGACCGGAGGTTTCGCAAGACTTTCCTTAAGCTTAATGAAAGCTTCTTCTTCTTTCGGCCCCCATTCTACCTTCCCGGGGCTACCCTTACGAGTGAGATTCGTTAGCGGTAATGCTACGTCGGCATACTCAGGAATATAATCCCTGTAGTATCCGGTCAAACCTAGAAACGAACGGACTTGTTTCTTAGTTTCTGGTCTAGGTGCTTCTACAGCCTTCTGAGTTAGTCTACTACTAGTGAGAATCGTTCCATTTCCTAGCTCGTGTCTTAAGAAGTCTATTGAACTAAACCCTATGAAACACTTCGAGGGACGCGCAGCCAAATTGGCCTCTCGCAACCTACACAAGACTATCTCTACTGTTTTGACATGCTCTTCCCACGTCTCCGTATGGACTAGAATGTCATCTATGTAATTCACTACGTTGGGAATGCTCTTCAAAACTCTCCTCATCATTCTAGTGAACTGCGCTCCTGCAGTCACTAAACCAAACGGCATGTATCTGAATTGGTATTGACCAACCGGTGTAAGGAATGCAGTTTTGGCTTTATCCGACTCTCTCATTGGTATTTGCCAATACCCTTTGGTAAGATCGATTTTACTGAAGTATTTACTCTTTGCAAGAGAGGCAAATAGATCTTGCTGGTTAGGCATTGGTTCGGGGTCGAATACGGTTATCTTGTTCAGGCGTCGGAAATCGATACAAAACCGGTTCGTACCATCCGGCTTTCTCACCATCACAATCGGATGTGCATAGGGAGAGTCTGACTGCTCGATTACCCCTAACTTCAACATCGACTCAACCTCTTTCCCTATCTCACTCTCTACAGCTTGAGGTACCCTATATGGAGGAGAACGAACAGGTTCGTCACTAGTCAAATGAATCTTGCATTCAGCCACTGAAGTTTTCTTAGGAACATCCGTGAAAACATCTTGATATTCACACAACAATTTCCTGACCTTAGCCTGGGATTCCTTACTCAATTTCTCATCAACCTGAACATGACTTACAAACTCCTTCTGTACAGAACATGGCATGTCAGGTAGACCTCTCAAACACTCATCGACCTTCTCAATTTCTACTTCTCCTTCTCCAACTTCTCCCTCACAAGCACCAACCTCAAAACAACTAGAAGCAATCTCTTCATCTCGTCTAACATATCGTGTAAGCAGGTTGATATGACAAGTCTTCTCGACACCATTGACATCGACAACATAGTCATAGTCGAACTTGGTACCAACAACCTTAAATGGCCCCTGCCATTTGACAAGCAACTTGTTTTGAATAGTAGGTAACAATATCAAAACCTCATCTCCTACATTCAACTTTCGCTTCTTGGCCTTCCGGTCATAATAACCCTTGTACCTCTTCGCCGAAGACTTCAACGTCTCTTTCGCCAACTGCCATGACTCTACCAATCTCTTTCGCAAGTCAATCACATACTCATACTCGCTTTTCAACTCAGCTTCTATGTACTCATTCGTCCACAACTCTCTCAAAATGTCCATGGGACCTCTCACATGTCTGCCATAGAGCAACTCGAATGGAGAAAACCCAAGGCTAGAACTGGGTGCTTCTCGCAGAGCAAATAGCAAAGCAGGTAAGTACCTATCCCACTGACGTGGCTCTTCCGAACAAAGACGCTTCAAAGCTGTCTTGACTACTGCGTTGTATCTTTCTACGAGACCATTACATATAGGATGGTATCTAGAGCTTGTTATTTGTTTAACAGACAATAACTGTGACACCTTTCTCATCAAGTCAGACACAAATTGTGTACCTAAGTCTGACATGACTTCGCATGGAACACCTACCCTACTGTATACGGTTACCAGCGCCTCGGCAACATCGATTGTTGATATTGATTTCAGAGGTATTGCCTCTACATACCTAGTTGCATAATCCACTATTGTTAAGATATGTGTATGTCCTCGCGCAGATGGGAGTAACGGACCCATCAGATCTATAGCAATGCGCTGAAACGGAACGCCAACCAACGGTAACCTACCCAGAGTAGTCTTGGGGACTCTCCCCTTATTGACAGTCTTCTGACACACATCACACGATCGACAAAAATTGGCAACATCCTCAGTCATACCTGGCCAGAAAAACTGAGCTTTGACCTTTGACAATGTATTGTTAATGCCGAGATGACCACCAAACAACGAATCATGGGCTATGCGCATGACCTCTGACCTGTGTGCCTTAGGAACAGCAACCAACTTCGGACCAACTCCTATCCGGGAATCTTTCTTATCCCTATCCTGCCGATATAGGCAATTCTTTTCCACCACGAACAAGAATCTTGATTTAGACTCTGTATCATTCACCTTTTTCCATAAGGGTTGAAGTGAAAGATCATCCTTCTGCTCTCGCAAAAATTCTCCTGACTGCACAATCACACCAGAGTCTCTCACTTTTAAAGCTTGATTAGGTTTCGCTTTCAACTTCTTTTGTGCCCTAGTCTCAACAGCCATCGCTTCCTCCAAACTTGGAGAATCAACCTCCGAAACCGGAACCTCGACTTCCAAAACCGGAACATCAGAAACCGGAACCTCAACTTCCGAAACCGGGACTTCAACATCGGAATTTCTTACTGTATTCTCAACACGACAAGGCACCCATTGCAAGTCAGGATCTTTGGGCTCACGTGCCCCCTTCACATCATTACCGATAATGACGTCACACAGACAGTTCGGCATACACAATGCACTGATTTCTCCAGTGAAATAAGGACTATCAACCAACACCTTCGCCCTGGGAAAACGCCTTAGAGTACCATCGATCAGTCTAACTAACTGGACTACTCCCGTGAACTGATCGTCCATCATCAAACTCGTTCTCACCACACTTGTACTACACCCAGAGTCTCTCAATACGGACACGGGCGTACTCAGAGGAAACAATCTACCCGAAACCACTGGCATATCATTCAACATCGCTCCAACCTCATCATATGCCATACCAAGAGTTTCCACATCCAAATCACTCTCTGACTCAATCAATGGCACACCAACCAGAGCACAACCCGCAGAATTCTCGACATGCCCGAGAGATTTTGACTGACTATTGGGGTGCTTATTGTCTGAACGTAAAGTTCCTATCGACCCTGAATAATCTACCCCATTTGATGGCAAACCCGACACATCACGCTTCACACTCTCAGATGGAATAGTGTCCTCCACACTCATGGCTTGAGCAGAATGAGCTATGGGCATCATCGGACAATTCCGCTTGAAATGATTGGGGCTACCACACTTGTAACAGCCACGCTCTACTCCTGTACCACCACCACTACTACCATATCTCACTAAACTAGCAGACTTGGTTTTCTTGTCTGTTTGTGTGACAGAGACTGATTTAGGTTCAGGTCTTTGGTTTTGTTTCTGGTTTTGACTTGGATGGAATCTATCGCTTCTAGGATTACTCGAGAAAGTGTGCAATCCATGTGCATGCACGTATACTTCAGCACTTTCAATCATTTCATCCAACTTTCCACACTTCCTCTCTTTCAAGAATCCGACTACCTCTCTGGGACAACAATTTACAAATTGCTCTCGCATTACCAAATCAACCAAAGACTCGTAATTCTCCTGGATATTAGACATTTCCAGCCACTTGTCAAAATACCCCTTCATCCTCACAGCAAACTGTTTGGGGCGTTCATCCTTACTCGGCCTAGCCGACCTAAACTTCTTCTTATACCCCTCCTCAGTCAAATGGAAATATTCCATAATCTCTCGCTTTACCTTTCCATAGTTAGTGCGATCAACACCACTCATCCTATTGACAACATCAAGTGATTTGCCAGTCAAATTGGCAATCAAATGCAAACACTTCAAATGATCAGGAACACGTTGACTCTCCATCATCAATTCAAATTTCGTAATATACGAATCAAAATTATCAGTGTTTTCATCGAATTTGCCAACTTTCAATCTTAGCCCACCAAACTCTGGAAGGCGCTCTTCCGTTTTCGCTTGCTCTGCCTTTAGTTGAGCTAAGCGCAATTCATGAGCCTCTTTCTCCCGCTCTCTCTCATGTTCATGAGCCTCTTTCTCCCGCTCTCTCTCACGTTCAAGAGCCTCTTTCTCGCGTTCAGTAACCTCATTACAACGAGCCGACACGAAACTATTCAACTCACTTCCAGTGAGCCCGATCTCTCTACCTAGAGAAGAAAATTCTTTGATTTTCTCAATACTAGCCATCGTGCTAATCAACCAGTTATACCAGAATAGACAGTAATTATGTTAGAACTAAGAACAATAGTTCTTCCCGACACATTCGCTATCCCGTCGACCAACAGCCCTGTAAAGCTTTTTGTATATTAGCCTTTACCTAAACGCTGTCTTTTCGGGCGACAAACGACCTATGTCCTAATCCTCGCAGCGCGACAAATCCGTCAATAATTAACTGTCCTATCCTAACTGCAATAGCTTAAAGCCTTGCCTGACTTAACGTCCATGCTTTAATGTGCAAGTATAGAGAGCACAATAATGTACCAAGGCTTGAACCATGCTTCAATGCACACCTTGGGAGAACCACTTCACATAAATCACAATATGAACTGAGGGTAATATTTCCCAATCCTTTCCAATAAAGTAGCAGTTGGGTCTCGGTGGGACCTCCAAATTGTCACGTGAGCGACTGTTTTTTAATTATTTACACTGCTACCTCATCAGAAAACCACACCAGAACACAATTGTATAAGTTTAAATAAAAGTTTAATATTCAGCCTACAAATCGTGGCGTCAAAAAATCATCAACAGCACATAAACAATTTAATGGAACATAACTTTATAACAGGGCAGCTTCCATCTCGTGAGTCCCTCCTGGTCCTTGTTGCTTGGCCAGTCTCTAGACTGCGTAGAATCCCCGTCGACTTGACAGCTTATCTCGATCTCCGTCGATGAATTCCCTGGTCGCTTGGCCAGTCTCTAGACTGCGTAGAATCCCCGACGTAAAAAGTCTTTCTCAAGAATAATGTTTCTCCCACTAATATAAATAAAAACTACCTCGTGCATTAAACGTCTGCACCGTAGCACTGACTTGAAGGGTTCTGCCCATTATTCTACAGCAACTTCCCTTTCCCCTTTCTTTGCCAGGTCCTTAACATTCAAAACCTCCTGGGTATGCAAGCTATTTCTATTTCTATCTACAATCAATAGCCAACCCCAAATCATGCATAACAAAACCCCATATACTATACATGTTAAATGCAAATGTATGCAATAATGCATCCTACGCTTGGCTACCTCTATCTGACCCTTGAGTAGTACATTTCCTTTGAGTAGTACATTTCCCTCCTCGCCTGGAAAAAATTCCTTTCATGACAATTGTGAAACGTGAGAATTGACAATCATGACAATTGTCATGAAACTGAATTCTGAAAGTGTCAATTTTTAGTGAATTCTGGCAAGTATTGTAAAGTGGTGTTCGAGAATTTTCAGAATCAACAAACAAATTATAGTAATGACATTGCTTCTAATACTAGTCATAAGAGCATTAGTATACTAAAGTTAGATCTAATATAAATATAAAATAGTCTAGGGTCCTATTGATTTTCAAAGTCTGAGCGACTGCCATACACGAAAGAGATTGAATGGGACTGACCAAAGTGAAGAGCAAAAACGATTTACAAAATGACATGAATTTCCTGATAAATATACCATGAAATGTGTGATAACTAGACTAGTTGCTCCTACAGTTTATCTACCTGCTTGCTTGCTGAAATCATGGTTTTTAGTTCCTTCGGACTTCGTATGCCTGCCATTTCGAATCGAATTTGTTCTTGACTTGTTTACAGTCAACCATGGTACCCGACTAGGCTTACTACAAGGCTGCGCTGCATATATAAAATTTGTTTCTCATCGATTTTGCCAAAATAATTTTTTACAATGGATGGTAAATAAATAATTTTCGTCTCAATATTATATATGATATACCTCAGCGGGGGTTCATGAAATAGGGGTGGTGACACAGGAAATGGGGGGGGGTGTTCCCTTGAAAAAATTATGAGGGGATCGGAGGATATTTTTGGCAAGAAAAGTTAGAGAAAAAAGGGGGAAAAGGGATTCATAGGAAGTCAGGGCAGTGGTGTGAAAACACAATAATTTTACCTTTTTTAAGATGCCCCCCCCCCTCCCTGGCGCTCAAGGGGGGGTGCGATTTTGCAAATTTACGAAGGCCCCCCCCCCCCTCCAAAAACAAAAACAAAAAAAAATGAGAGAAAAATTTGAGGAAAAAAAAGAGGGAAAAGGGCTTCATAGGGAGTCAGGGATGTGGCGGACCCGGGGGGCGGGGGGCCCGGGGGCCCGTACACAGGTGCGATTTTTCAAATTTTCGAGGCCCCCCCCCCCCCAAAAAAAAAAAAAAAAAAAAAAAATGAGTGCTTACTAAAATTTCATAGCTTTCATTTTTTTTTTTTATCTTTAATGTGGATTTTGCTCAAACTTTCCCTGTTCCTCTCATTTTTCTGGTTCTATCAAAATAATCTTAATATCAGGGTGGACTTCCTTTTTAAATGTGTTTTAAATGTGTTAATAAATTTTATGAGTTTTTGTCTGGGGCTGTCGTAATATCAAGCAATCTGCTTACAATGAGTCCTTCTTCCGCATATAATTTTATAATGTGTTATAATGTTTGAGGAAATTTAGTATTTGTGACAGTTTATCATTTCGTTTTTGAAAATAACAGTTTATATATATAGTGTTACAGAAATTGGATGCTCGAACGATTAAAAAGGGAGGTCTGAATTGGAGACTAGCTTTAACTTGGGCGAGGTTTGGGAGTGTGTAAAAGTTTGGAGCTGAGGCCGAGGCAGTTGTGAGACAGACAGATTTTGGGAGAACTTAGAGTTAGGAGCTGGGAGGATGTTGCTCGGGAGCATCATCAATTAGCCAAAGGGCAAGAACTAGTATAAATGTGAGTTAAGTGTAACTGTTATTAGGTTGTGGCAAGTAAATATATTGGATATCACCACCATGTTTCTTGTGAATAAACATCAGTTACTTAAAAATCATTGTTCGATAACTCCTTTCTCTCAGAGACTGTAATTGTATGTGTGTATGACTTGGCCCTGGCCTTGCGTGGGCATTAATTTAGGCTAGACTAAACATCTAGAGAGTCTACCCCTGCAGTCTTTAAATTCCCCATTTTCTTATAAAAGAATTCCCAAAAGTTATTACACTGGTGTCAGAAGTGGGATTTGAAAGGTGGAATTTTAGAAGATTGTTAGGTCTAGTTAGGGAATAAGTCATATTTTGATTGTAGTAACTAGTAAAAAGTTAAGATGGGTCAATGGCAGTAGCCTACGTTCATTGTCATTGGCATCGTACACACTGCACTGCAAAAGCTCTGTGTGTATACGGGGAGCAACCATCGAAATCCAAGTAAGTAGAAGGATTTTCCGAGACCGCTGAATTGCACCGCCGTGCGCCATCTTGGATAGAACGAGCGTTGTGAAAGCGAACTGCGACTACGTGCTATGTGTATGCTCAACTTTCGTCTGCAAAATGCCATATTGTGCAGCTTTCAACTGCACCAATCGCCTTAAAAGAGGCTCTGGAATAACCTTTCATAGTTAAGTGATCACTTCATTAAAAATAAACAGTTTTGCATGATAATCCTAACGCAGAAAGCCACAGACTAAAGCGTGTATTAACATCGGTCCCATCTATTCATTTCCATGTTTGTGAACTGTTTTCGCTCGAGTTTAATGACATCGGCTATGAACTATCAAAAATATTGAATTCCACAGAGCTGCAAAGTATTATAAACCGATAATATCGAATACATGATATCCAGAGAATACTGTACTGTTGTTTTTTTTTGTTTTTTTTGGGGGGGGGGAATCATTGGGGCATAAGCAGGTCACTTTCTTTGTTTGACTTGGTGAAACTTGGTTCAAGTTACTTTGAAGATTAACTTGAACTTATGAACATGTTGCATCGCGGCGCTGGTATTAATATAGTGACACAATTTCCCGTGAGTCGTCAGACTTTCAAGCATTATTGTAAGAAATTTACTGGAATTTACTCAAAATTTACACCTTAATTTTGGACATTTAAATTGTTGTATAACACAAGAAATTTTACTCAAAGTTGGTCATTGTGAAAGTTATACGACCTGTCAGTCATGGTAGTTAAAGAAGCTACCTGCATGAACCTTCCTACGTCCTCTAAAACTTACTCCTCAGATGAATATGTGTAGATTATGTAGTGATTTCATATGGCCTAGTAAAGCACAGCACTTGAAATACAAATCAAGACAAAAAAACACCAGGCAATATTTTGCGAAGCTCCCATTATTCTGGTACATGTATATCTTTAAAGACATATACATTTTGAAATATTTGGGGATTTCTGCTGTAAAAGGGTAAAAAAAATTGGTCAATCGTATTTATGTGTATTTTTTTACATAATATTTCACCATTGATGAAATAAATATACTAATTCAAACAGACTATTTCATCTTCTCCTTCCCACTGAAATGACAGAATGTGCACTACAGGGATAGTATACGATATTTATTACGATGTTTGCCCTATTGGTCTATTTTGTGTTTTATACATCTAGGCTTACCCAGAGAGAAAGGAATTGTGTGATTCTATTATTGACACTAGCCTGTCTTCTGTCTGACAGGTTTAGGTATAGTTTGAATCTGATTGCATAAATTAGATTTGAGATTAGAATTTGCGAAAGAGGCATCAAAGAAATAAAAAAAAAAACTGGATTATTGTCAACGTGTTTCAGGGAAAGGGATTTTCTTTAAATTTTTTATTTTTAACTTGACTCTGATCACTTATGGTTCCCAAAGCTATTTACAAATTATTGTGCGTATGTTTCTTGATAATGGATAATGTATTCGGTGATGGCATAGTGCCACATACATGTGTGTACAAACAAATTGTTTCGTCAAATTAGATAAGGAAGTCACTGAAATCAGATGAATCCATACATTGCTTCATGAACAAACCAAAGAGAGGGAAATACTTATTCATATGTATTATATCTTGTTGATGTTTAGTTTTTTAATGAAGTATGTTCAAGTTTTGAGTGCTAAAAGGGAGAAAATCTTGCCTTTTGTACATTGTAGTCAGTCAAATGTACATGTGATTATTTCTCTGTGTGTTAAAATGAATAAGAAATGTGCCGGTATAAACATAATGTGCCATGATTGCTTGCTTGAGGAACGTTTTTTCCACACCATTGAGGATTTTTTTCTTCATATCCACCATTGCAATAGTTCATGGATGCTTTAATATGTACTGTATACATTCATGTAATACATAGCGCAATGCCAAGGTTAAAGAAAAAACTTAATAAAGATGAAAGTATTCACAATTATGTGGAAAGACATGTGAATAGTTGCCACAATGTGTCATTACTTAACACTTCTTATATGGGATGAAAATAATATCTGGCAGCTAAATGGTAGCCTCCCAAGGGAAAGAAAAGAAATAATATTAATATTCAGTGGGCCTACTTCTGCAGTGCCAAGAATCAAAGGGATAGAGAAAGAGAGAGGGGAGAGAGACAAAAAGAAAGAGGGGGAGAGTGAAAGAAAAAGGGGGAGAGAAAAAGAGAAGGGGATAGAGAGAAAGAGAGAAAGAAAGGGAGAGTGAAAGAAAAAGAGAGGGAGAGAGAGAAGGGGATAGAGAGAAAGAGAGAGGGAGTAGAGAAAGGGGTAGAGAGAAAGAAGGGGAGAGGGGGAGTGTGAGAGAAAAAGAGAGGGAGGGAGAGAAGGGGATAGAGAGAGGGGGAGTGGGAAGAGAAACACAAAGACTGAGAATTTACGAGTGTGTGTAAAGAGAAAGTGGGAGTGATTTATATAGATAGAGCCTAAATAATTTGATATATTCTTTCTATCACAGAAAGAGACAAAACTAGCCTAATACCACAAATGATATTTAACAAATAGTCTAGCTCTTTTAGTCTTTATGCAAAAAAAAACCTAAAATTTCAACTCCCCTACTGTCCAAGCTGCCACTCTTATTCCAATATTCAAGTCATCAAACATCTGTATGGGACTTGGAAAAGGGCATAAACAATATATGTAAAGATATTTTTCACCAAAACTAACAATAAAACCCTGGTTTCTGGACGTCCCTTCCTCCAATTGCAATAGGAGCCTGTACACAATACGTATGCGCAGGCGATTTCTTGTACTACGCAAAATGGCGGCGGGCGCACTCGAGCGGTGCCATTGCGCTGCGTGAAACGTGAACGGACACAATCCTTCTACTTGGTTTGAGTTCGTTGGGAGCAACGCGTTGTATTGGTGTGTGTGTGTGTAGTAATGTTTTAGGATCGGTGTTTCAGTGCATATGTGCTGAGCAAAGGGAAAGTTGGTAGTCCCGCAGGCTAGATACAGCTAGTCTTGCTTTGCAGACCCGATAAGCTACTTTTGTTTGGGGAAGTTAAGATATAACTTAGTAGTAAATTTAGTCACTTAAGTAACTGTTTTTGATGGGATTGTTTTATTTGCCATTTAACTAATTAAATAATTTTAATCCCCTTTAGGATTATATTCTTCTTCGTTGGATTTTATTGTGGAAAAGTTTAAACTATACTGAACCTGACGTGAAATTTGTATAGGGATTTTAAATACAGTAGCCTTATAGTTTCCATTTATAAAACTTCTAAATAAAGCAAGAGTAGGCTCATGAAAGTAACAGGGGTTTAGGGTGATACACAGTTGTTGAAGTGACTATCGACTCTCAACCATGCATCGCTCACGGATCTCGTCACGTACGCGTACAAGAGGGAGGGGTCGCCTTTCGAGTTTTTTAGGAGTTGGCGCCCTCCTACAAGCGTTTGAGAAGTTTG